ACCGCTCACTTCCTTTGTGCCCTTTTCGTTGTGCGCCACTCCACCACCGATCACTTCTTTGGGTTCTTTACTTTAATCAGTAGAGCTGGGTTCCTATCCCAGGGTCTTATAAGGGTCTGGCTCGGACAGGGCAGGAGGAACCCTTCACTACAATTACACACACACACTCTACAACCGTTGCACTTAATGGTCATTTAATCTTGTTCAGCACACTAAATACAACTGAATTCATTGATACATTTACTTTGGACTTTTCTTATACTGCTCTACAGAAGGGCCGTAGTTGTAAATTTAGTGTCCGACTTGGCCGAAAGTTGTGTCCAGACTTCTTGAGGTGGAATCCCTCTCTCTCTGAAACCTGAGGTCCACGAACCCCAGACTCCAAGAGAAATCTACTCCTCCCTTCTGCCATTGGTTAATTTTTCAAACTAGGAGGTTCCCTAAATTTTGAATTCCCAATCGTGTGGCTCTGCTATGTGATTCTGGCAGATGCTGACCTGACGCTAAGGATGACAGCCCCCTGATGCATTACGGTCAGGGTGTGAGGCTCTGGCCGTCCCACTTCTAAGTTATCGCTGTCCCAAGCTGTCAGCTCTCATTTTCTCAAAGCCTTTCCGACGTTGCTGAAACTGCCAGAATTCCAGGAAAGTACCAGATGTTACTTCCTGTTCACATAGCAAAACTTGAACTATGTCCCTTCCGCATGTAAGAGCTGGCTATCTGCCGGATCTCTTTGTTTGTAATATTGTTAATCTTAACTTAATACAAATTTAATTTTCACACAACACTCCTCCAGTCAGAATGAACGGTTACAATCTGATGAGCCGTCTCTATCGGATCACAGATATATATGCTTTAAATAAGTAACATCACAGTAGATCGAACTACTTATAGGAATCCTAAGAGAACCAATTGGGAGTCTTACAAAGACGACCTAAAGGTAAATCTAGAGGCCATCTCGTGTAATATACGCACAATGAAGGATGTTGATCAGTCCGTTGACCAGTTGCAACGGGCTATTATCTCGTCCTTTAATCAGAATTGTCCGGCTAAGACCACTCGCGGACCAAGGAGAACGCCTTGGTGGAGTAAACAGCTGAGTGGGCTTAGAACCAAAACAAGAAAGCTGTTTAATACAGTTAAAAGAACAGGGCAGTGGGACACCTACAAGGAAGCCCTTACCTGTTACAACAAAGATATAAGGAAAGCCAAGCAATCCTCATGGAGGAGGTACTGCCAGGAGATCACTGATGTACCAGCCGGTGCCAGACTCATGAGAATCATGGCAAAACAGGCGACCAATAAGGTCAGCACAATTAAGCTGCTTAACGGACAGTATACTCAAACAGGAAGGGAGACACTGAACGAATTATTCAGGGTTCATTTTCCTGGTTCAAAACTGATTGACAAATTGGACGATGGACAGGGTCAGCAGAACCTGGACACTTGCCAAAGCAAGATGAACAGGGTAGACTGGAACCTGGCCAAAGTCATAATTAATCAATCAAAAATAAGATGGGCGCTAAACACTTTTAGACCATTTAAATCAGTGGGAACGGGTGGAACTGTACCAGAAATTTTGCAACATGGGGCAGAACTTTGAGTTCCACACCTATGTCGCACATATAGAGCCTGCTTGGCATATGGTTTCATCCCCACAGCCTGGAGGCAGGTTAAGGTGATGTTTATTTCAAAGCCCGGGAAACTTGATTATATCGTCCTATCAGCCTGTCGTCTTTCCTTTTGAAAATCTGGTTGATGCTGATATGCCAATGTCATCAAAACTACTGAGATTTCTGTTCACTGCTGCCAAGGCAAGCACACAGTTGCGAGTTCGCGAACTTTATTGTCAGACCTCGTATAGTGCTCAGAAATTTTGGATCTTCCTGGAGATGATATACCTACATCCAAAACATGCAGGAGATGCATGTTGAGTTTTGAAATAATTTCTGCACTGGAAAGAGGCAAGTCTGGAGGGAAGTGCATCTCATCACAAACCTGGGCCCTCTGACCCACCCTTCCTTCTTGCACTGTTGGCAAACTGGTCTCCAGCTGCTCCACTCTCAGAAGTGCTTTCTGCAGCTGTTGTGAAGTCTTGGTTCCTTCCAGTCTGCAACAGAGGCATATGTGAGGTCTGAGTTCTTATATCAGTGCCTATGAAGACTGCTGTTTTCTGGGATATCACACTATGTAGTGCAGTACCTGTCTACCACATCCCAGAAGACAGTATTCTTTAAGGGCATGGACAGTAAACTGTATCCAAAGGGACCTCGTGGTCTTTGAATCCTTCTCAGAAAGGAACAGGAGGGGAAGAAGTGGAGAAGATAATGGAGAAAAAGTTTTATAAGAAATATGAGAATGGAGAGGACAATAATGAATAAGAACAGATGGCTGCCTCCTCATGGCTTTGGTCTGGAAAGGATAAGAAATTCAGATTCTCATTCAGAGGAATCTAAGCTTGAATTATTCTGCTCATTGGCTGAAACTTTCACCTGTACCAAACATAACATTTGGGAATATTAAAGATGCCATGTTCCTTCATAACCACTGTCAGGTGTTAGTGAATGTACCGAGTGGTCCGTAGCTGTTCTCGCAACACAGTGTTGCTCCCCTCCACAGACTGCAGCTGCGCCTGTAGTCTCATGGCTGGATGGTACCACCCGCTCAGATGTCTCGAGTCCAGTGCTTCAAGCAGTCTCTCCAGAGTGTTGGACTCCACCTGCACACTGCTTGAACCTGAAACAATATCACTTTAAAGCACAGGGGCACACAGAACCAGGAATGCCACCATTCTCCTTACACCCACTAGTTCACTCGTGAATACTACTAAGAAGTGTACCATCTTGGTTGTGAATGCTGTCCAGGATCTCATGCATGCCTTTCCTTAAGGCTTCATTCTCGGTTGTCACCTTTTGGAGCTTGTTCTCTAGCTCGTGGAGCCTCGGTTTCTCTGTCTCCAGCTGCATCCCATCTGCCTCCTCGATCCTCAGGCCCTGTCCGCTGTTGAGGGCACAAGGGTCACCATCTCTGTACCCTGGCTGAACTTCTCGACAGATGACATCAGGATGGCTTCGCTTGCCATGCCTGTGTCAGGCTGCAGCCATAGGGACTGCATTTGTAGGCTGATCCTGCTGAGTCGCTGGTTCAGTTCTCGGTTCTGCAAATAAAATTGCCAGGTGTTTGAGTACCAGTCATATGACTAACTGTTTGAGTGTCTTGATTATTTTTCAATGTTGCATCACTGTTCAGTTGAACAAAATTTGGTCAGTGATTCTAAATGATAACTACAGTGTAGCGACTAATTTTTATTTGGAATTCAATTAATGGAACTGATTGAAGCCATAAAAATCATAGTCCAGGCTCAACAGTGTGAGACAGTTTACTGACCAGGTTCATCACCTTGTCTACAGAAGTCCCTCATTTGGACTTGCATCCTGAACTAGTCAAATCTATTTCCTGTCTTTTGAACCTATTTCTCCCACTTTAATATTATCCTATCTAAACACAGGTTTCAAAAGTTGTCTTCTCCCTTGAGGCTGAACCAGAATATGAAACAGGAGTGTTAATCACAAACCTGTGGCACTGACCTCAAGTTTAAGCTGCAGTTTCTCTTCTTCAAACCGCTCCGCCTGTTGCTGCAGCACTTTCATCAGTAGCCGCTCCTTTTTCCTCTGTGCAGTGATTCCATCCACACACACAGGTACCTCTGCAGGCAAGCCAAGCTGCTCCCTACAACAGCCACATTGTCAAGTAATTTAAATTGATTTGTTTGTTAAGTCTAAAGGCATGTTATTAAACTGACACATATGGAACATTTCCCATTATCTCATTTTTGTTTAGAATTACAGTGACTGCGCTTCCAGAAAGTAAATATATTGTTACGTATTTGGGGTTTGCGTGACAAATAATAATGGGTTCTGGATTAGATGATTGGAATTATTGGCACTTCTTTACATTTACAATCAATTATAACAGCTCACATTCAATGACTGCCTATGCCTCCCTCCATTCTGGCTGGACTACAAATCTCTTCTCTTCCGCTGTGATGAATCACTGCTCACACACTGAACTCCCTTATGAATGAATTATCACTCTTTTATAATTTCCAAGCGACCCAAATATAGGTCACCATTTCAAACCATTCCTCTGTTATCCTTTGTTATCCATTGCCACGGGAATCTATATTTACTGAAGTGTTGCCTATCAAATGGACTTCACTTCCAGCTTTCAGGCAGTGCTTACCAAAGCGTTGTCTAGCAATGGATTATTCTGTCATGGCATGAAACCCCATTCTGTTAGGTTCAGTGGATGGAACTAACCTCTATAAGCAAACCAAAGGACAGAGATCAGCTCCATCTGATGGACCGACAGAGAAGGTTGCACACTTTTACCTGATTATGGAAGCACAGCCAGCTTTTGAAATGTTGTATTTCTTTAAAAGAGAGAGAGAGAGTGTGAAAATGGAAAGTGACACACATATGTGTCAGTTTTATTCAGCCACTACTGTAACCAGAACTCGAGAAATATGATTTATTTCAACTAGCCACTTAACAAAATTCACTTCTGCAGCCATGCATTCTGCTTCATATAGACATTTTTATGCTTCCTATCGCTGGTCTCCATTAATTTACCTATGGTGGATTTTTCTGGAGTCTTCAATGAAACAACACTTACACACCCAACACTTTCAAACCATCATTATCCTCATATTTACTAACCCATTGATTTACCTTTTGAGCTCTGCAGTTTTCTTTCTCAATTTCCATCTATTATCAGATTTTGAAATGTAAATATAATCATGCTGTTAGGTTGGTTGACCTTCCCTCAAGAGGAAGTCCTATGTTTAATATCTCAAAGAAAGTCTGGAGTGCAGACACTGCAAAGGATTTTACTTTCAGTAGTTTACTGTTCACCATGCAAAAATATCAAGAGCTTAAAATGCAATCCTTTTAAAATTCATCACTGCACTACATGTTTCTTTGGCCTACTTGGCCATCATCAGGTGCGCTAAAATTCAGGGGAACTGCTGTGCCTTCTGTGCTACCGTGATCCCTGTTTTCGTATTTACAGCATTTCTACATGAAGTCAATGTACTTCCTCCTTCTATGCCACATGTATTGCCTGTTCCCTATGCACTGTGTACATTGGCCAAGCAGGCTGAAACATCTAGGGCAGTGGCGACTTTTAAGATCTTAATATTGTTGCAGGGCAGATGGTAAACAACTGAAAATAAATTCTAATGCCAACTCAAACAGGACTAAGATACAACTGCAATGGATGCCATCTCTTAGGTCAGCAAATTGGTTTTGTAGTTATGACTGGTGATGTGCAATACTGATCTTAGACACAGATGGGTAAAATACACATGTGTTGGAATTCTGTATCCACAGCAATTGGATAAATTGATGGGTTAATCAGCAGGACTAGACAGACAGACATGTCGTTCCCATCATACATCAATTTCACGTCACCCACCACCCAACAGTTGAATTGCTAACTCGAGTTTTACTATGCAGTCAGTCAAATAATGAAGATGTATTATATTACATTCCAGATGTGGTGAGACACAGTGATACTGAATGAACAAGCCGGTACCTCAGAGTCATATTCTGTTCTTCCAATTGGCTGACCTCTGCTTGCAGTTTGTTTGATGCCTGCACCAGCTGCTCTATCTGTCTGTCTTGAATGTGACGTTGTTGTCTCAGTTCCTTGATTTCGCTCATGGCCTCAGCCAAACCGTACTCCCCAGACTCATACTCCCTCAGCTGGATGATCATTTCCGTTGCCTGCACATAACAGTATGAGAATATCATACCAGTGACTGTGAAGAGCTACAATATGTAGTGCAGCTGAGGCTTAATGGCATTTAAGATGAACCAGACTACAAAGTGTCACATGCCAGAAGATATAAAACTCTTCAGCAATTTCATATAGTTGAGTACATGGTGGAAATAATCTCTGTGGGGAAGAAGGAGGAGGAGGAGAGGACGGTGACAACTTCACTGAGCTGGTGAAGTGCTTGGTTTGAATCTCAGCTGGGATACTGACTATTATGTCTGAGGATTTTCATAGTGTTCCTTAGTCCCTTCAGACAAATTCCAGGATATTATCTCCATCAGCCCTTGACCACTTCTGTACCATAACATTCCCATTCCTTCATTCTGTCATCTGGCCTTTCAACGCTAGCTACTGACAGAGTTGTAAAATGAACCATAAAAGAGAGAAATAAAAATTGACTTCAACAAAATCCACATTACTGAGGTACATTAACATTGGCTGTGCACTGCATTATTATTAGCTGGATAAACTGCACTGTATTTTTCAATGCTGATACCACTAATCCTGATTTAAAATATGGCAGCAGCCCCACAGTACTAGGACATTTAAAATACCCTGCACTTGAATGATGAACTGCTACCCCTGAGTTAGAATGTGGCACCCAATCGCACAGTAACAGGAAAATTGAAGTTCCCTTTTCCTGGTCAGTACAGATTAACAGGATGCCAGATGAGCACAGGAAAATACTGGTGTGCACTGGAAGACAGGAAAAGACAATGAGAAAAGTACAAGACCAAACTGACCACATGGAACTGCTGAAACAGCCTGAGAGATCTCTGAACATTATAAAGAAGCCATTCAGACTAGGATGTTCCTGAAGGCAGTTTACATTTCTGTGTTCATGAATATTTTATAAGAATCTCCAAGTCTTATATTTTCAACATTAAATCAAAAGAAAATATCCCTATGAAATTACTTATCTCGGTCTAAAATTCTGCTAGTTTTCACATAACTGCATTAGCTTTGCACACTAACATCATATTACCAGATCCAACAGAATCCTAATGGTTTGCACCACTAAAATGAATCAGCTTATCAATACAGTAACCTTTTCCTTTCCTGCCCATGGCAAAAAGGACACAGTTCTGCATTCTAAGACCCAGATGATATTTTTTTAAAACAAAAAATTATTTATGACAATTTTTCAAATAGTTATCTGATATCAAAGGAGATGTGTAGGATACTTTAGCTCACTGTGAAAAAGTAGCTGATGTTACAAACTGTGGTTGCAATGAAAAAAAAAATGGGTCTAACAGTTCATTCTCACCTCAGTTTCATGAAAACCTCATCTCAAACTGAAAGTAAGTCTTGTGTATGCACAGTGTGTTGTCATGTTTTGCATATAGATTGTGATCTTCTGGACTGACACTGTGCAGTTAACTGCTGTCAGTATTCACTACACCTGAGCTCATCTCTTGTACTTTAATGTGGGCATCTTCTTCAGCATCCTTGAGTTTGCTTTCCAACTGATGGACCTTCGCTTCAGCTTGCTGTAACTGTGTCTTCAACTTTACAACACCATTGAGATTGATTCCAGTGGGCAAATTGAGCCTGTATGAGATAAGAACCCATCATCAAAAAAATCTATTACAGAGAGGAGCTGGTAGTTACTAAAAGTATTATGTTTTAGGATATTATCCATTGTCTCGTCTATTTTCTAAAAACAGTCATGTTTCTTTTTAAAAACACAGTGTTTCGGACCCAGAGACAGGAGCTAGCTCTATCTATCGGACCCAACTGAGTAGGTTTTACCTGAGGACACGGACAGAATCCAGTCTCCGAAACACTGTGTTTTTAAAAAGAAACATAACTGTTTTTAGAAAATAGACAAGATGATGGATAATGTCCAAAAACATAATACTTGTAGCAATATACCATCATCAGACTTTTAGATCTTATTTGGTAGTTACTAAGCCATTCACAAAATTCCCAATCACTGTGTGGCTGAACTGCTTATCATAGTCACCACAAATCCTAATCCTGGCTTCTTGCTGATACTGATAAATAATGCTGATGGCACTGAATGACTCCCAAGAGGGAAGGGAGCTTAAAATTACAACATTTGGTTCAGTTTTGGGAGAGGGCATAGGTTCCATTTCTGAACCTCTCTTTTTCTGCTAACTGGTCCATTTTATCTTTTTCTTTTCCTTCTGCTGATATCATATGTATCTGAAATTTCTCACCATAATAAATGGGTAACACAAAACTGGACACCCACTGACAGAGGTGACAGATAAGTCATGTTCAGCAATTATTGTGGCAGAAATAATCACTTCCCTGTGTGAGATCAAAATCCCCTGTAGTTTTAAGATACCTTAAGTAATCCTAAGAGTTATGACAAAAGAAACACATTTTAAAGGAATGTAAACTTAAATTAAGGGACCCATCACACTGTTGTGACAGATGGTTCAGCAGACATAGCTTTGAATCTGTAGGCATATTCATGTCCTTGTGAAGAGTCTATTAAAATCATATTGTCTGTCTGTATGCATGAGATAACTCAAGAACCAGTGAACAGATTTACACAAAACTTGATATCTGAGGAGTTTAAATATGATGACCTATTCAGCATCGGACAATAATAAAGGACACTTTACGCGGCTTAATTCACTAAATATTTATAAGAGTGAAAACTGTCTGGAACACAAGATGAATAGAAAAATGGAACATATATTACAGGCCCAAGATATTTTTCCTGTAAATCTTTCAGTGTTCAAAGTAATTAACAGACAGGAAGTAACATATCAGAATTATTATGCTACACATACATTCATGAACTTGTTTTGTTATGGATATCATTAACCCCAACTTAAAACCCAGCAGCCAGCACCCATACTAGTGCAGAATTTAAATCTACCAAACAGAGTAATTAAACATACTATTATAAAAATAATATCTCTGTGCCTAGTACATCATTAACTACTCAGCACTGGGGGCATTTAAATCGTTTTTGCACTCACCCTGATTAATTAAGTTTGCATACCGTCAGAAAAAAATCCATATTTTCCGTTCTATGCAACATAGAAAGAAAAACTAAAAACAACCTGAAAGACAACAAACTTTTCTACATGTACACAGAAGAGCAATTTTTACAAATGAAAATTAACTGTGATTATTTTGTCATGAATTATTATATATGTCATGAAATTCCAAAGGACTTACCCGTTGTTTATTCTTCAGCCTTGAATCATGGTGATATTGTAAATATAATCACACTATATACTCGTACAATTATATTTTGTTCAGACTGTACGTGAGTTTGAACTGCGTCACTTCACAGTTTATGATAACTCACACTCGATGCGCGTGTACTACTTGTCGAAGCAGTCGAACATTCTCGAAGCAGCCGAACCCACACATCGCAATGTGACACTTTACATGCTTCTGCGCTTCTTATTCTGAGAACAAATACGTCTTAGTTTCCCTTTGGCTGGCCAGTGTTGTGAATGTTTCACCTCCAGTCGACTCAGTTGGGCCCCCTGATAAATTTGGCCCTCCCCCCGAGAAACGCCACTGACTGTGATATTCGGGTTGTTTGATTGAAGAATCGTCTTGGGGGAGGGTTTCTAGCAAAATTGAATAAATTATGTTGATTGACAAAGCGACACTCTCACCTGTTGGTAATATTCGCAAAATAGTGATGCAAAGTAAGTATAATACTAGTCGAAAAGAGTGCCAGTCCGACACATACTGAAAGTCACAGCGGCGAAGATGCCTTTACTCACAAAGTAATACTGGCTCAGTTGATTTATACCTCTTCCAAGACGCAAAATAAAAGTGATATATAAAGAAATATATGACAGCCTGACACTGACTTTCTAACTGATAAAGAAATATTAGACAATCCGACACTGACTTCCTGACTGATAATTCGCCACTGAAAACCAATCCTTGAATGCATCAAGACTTCCTTCAAGGCTCTGGAAGCATTCACATGTAAGCACCGATAAATATTTCCTCATTAGTTCTCGAAACAAAGCTGGGCTATATTTGGCTGAGCAGGTCATAAACAGTCATATCTAAATGTAAATAGTATCGAAACCAGTACCGTGATAAATAATTTCTTTGTTCAGAGCTACGGAATGAACCACTGACATGACCTCACGTAGGTTTGTTTTGGTTTCCAACCCAAGGTCAAACTGCCAGCACTCCAAAAGAGAGCATGGGTCCTGCGACGTGTACACTGGTCATTTGGCCAACTCTGGTTACTGCTTGTGACGTGTATACGTGACATTCGGCCGTTAAAGGTTAATATAATCATAGTGTTTCTGGACATTATCCCTCATCCCATTTTTATTTAAAACACACAACATTTTGGAGACTGGATATTATAGCAAGGGACAAAAGAACATACTTGTAATTTAAATTTATGCTAACAAAGTCACAGAGAACAAAATAAAAACAAAAAAAATTCTAAATCATTCCTAAAGGTAAGCTTACAAAGATGAAAACATCTTTAATGTGTTTTGAAATATTTTAGTGGTGGAGACTGAACTGTTTTCTCTTCCTTTATATCTTCATACATATGCTGGTAGCCACACAGTGCTTTATCCACATCTCAGCAAATTTGCATGCTTCGACCGAGGTTGGGGTCAGCATCCATAATTTTTTGCTGCACGATTTCTATAGCTTGAAAGATATCTTAAATTTCCTTGAAAGTGAACTCCTTCACTTGCAAATTATCTCATTCTTCTGTACCACTGTCAGCTTCTTAAAATGCTCTTTGTTGACCTAAAGTAGATCATCATCAGTCAATTCTTTGGAGTGTGAATTGAGCAGTTCCCAAACATTGTCATTTTCTAGTCCATCAAATCCAAGTGCTCTTCCAGTATTTCAGGCATTCCAACACCTATTCTATTTTAGAGTTACTACGATCACATCCATGTTGTTCAATCAAAACAAAGATTTTGCTCTAATGTAATAATGAGATTCTTCTTTTGGGGGTTCACTGTGTTTTTATCTGAAGGAATCTTCCATTTGTCCATTAACTGCTTAAAACAAATCATAAAAAAGTAATGTATATTATGACAGACAGCAGCACATGTGAAGATAAGTGCAGAATGAAGCAGTATAGACAGTGTCACGTAGCTTCAAACAAGGCTCCGCATTCCTAGCCAAATCCTGCGCATGGCTTGTGGTGGGGGGAGTTTCTTAACACTTGTTCTTCCACAGGCCGCCTGTCACTTCTCACACCCTCCATCCCCTTGTCTGAAACTTTTCTTCTGCGCATTCAAGGTTACTCTTGGCCTTGTTCAAAGTTATGTGACACTTGCTATAGCATCTAAAACCCTAATAGTAACCTCAAATGCACCTGTGTTAGCCTCGCATTAAATGTGAACTGGTATCATTGTACAATCTGCACTAAATCAAATATTGCATTATTCGAACTTGCATAAATTATGACCAAGCTGCATAGCCCAATATACTGTAAAGTAACCCCCCTTGCCTGTAACAGACATAATTTCTTATAAACATGCAGTTCTACATATAGATGTAATTGTGTGACCTCACCTGAGTAAGAAGTGCCACACGACTCTGCTCAGTGTTGATCTGAATGTTAGGTGCTTGAGCTGCATGGTGGGATAGTCTTGCTTGCAGTTCCTCAACTTTGGCGTTCTCAACACGAGAATCCAGAGCTTCTCTGAAGTCATCCAACTGACCGTCACGTCGCAACTTCTGTTCCACAAGCTCCTGCACCTGGGATCGTAGCACTACATTTTGTTCCTCCACCATACGCATCTTCTCTGCAAGGTAGAGTACACACAGTATCAGACACAGATAGCCTGAAGTGGTTATTATAAAACAGCATACTTCCATCTTTCTTATGGTCTTAAGAACTTCTTCCTCAGAGTATTTATATCAATTTTTTTTCTGGGTGAGGGTCCTTTTGCCGATCACAGTGACTGCGCAGTCTAAGGCATGAAATGTCTTCACCCACTTGAGGCATCAATACGCGTGTGCGTTATTTTTGTGTTTGTGGTGTCTTGTGCGTAGACAGAGGCCTTTTGACAGGCTGATCCCATGTTCAAGGAGTCCTACCAATTTTGTGCAGGACTGCAAAACTGAAAAAATGGCCAGGCCCAATAAAGGACTGTACAGCCATTGACGAATGACTCAATGAACGAGGGTCCTTTTAGAACTCATTCTTTTCTCTTTTTTTCTGTGGTGAAGTATGATGTCTCTTTGTGATGAAATTCACAATTGTCATTAATCCTTCACTTCTTCCCAATACCAAGTGCATATGGTAACCACAGTATAAGCTATGTTGGATTTGAGGTTCATGTAACGATGACTATGCAGGGTACTGTTTTCTGAGATGTGACATCAGGTAGTCTGGCAGAAGTTCACTGACATTCCTCTGAAATGTCGGTAAACTTCTGCCACACTACACATCATCACATCTAAGAAGACAGTACCTGTCACAGTGTAAGCTGTCAGACAATTACGTTACTTGACACATTATATGCCATGCCCCCTATTACCAGTATTTCACCTGCTGGGCCAGCTGTTTTTCCAAAGAAAACGGATTCCAAAGTAACTACATTGAAAACAGAAGTGGTGAGTAATGTGGGAAAGAGCTGACAACTGCAGTGTGTTTGACTCATTCAGGCTATGCTTAAAATTTATTTTTCCTGCATTTTTGTGGCATCTGTAGGAGATGATGACAATTATGTATGCAGTGGTAACAGAGACTCACGCGATAGGATCAGCACTGGCATGCAGTAAATTCCATCGCATCAGGTGATGGGGTTAACAGTGATTCTGCTAATGACTCTTAAGACATGGATTTCTTACAGACAGAAGAACATAAATTGTTAAATATTGGATCCGGGATGAAGCAAGGAATGAATGCAAATATTGTATATTGCTCAACATCATAATATTGTAGACACATCAGAACATCAGAATGCAGTGAATATTTAGCCCTTATGGTGGGAATAAGAAATGGACAGAGAATTTTAGTGACTCTCATGGAAAGACCGCCTCTGTGGTCTAGTGGTCAGTGTTCCTGGCTACAGATCCAGAGGTCCGGGTTCAATTCCTGGCGCTACCAAATTTTCTGAGAAGTAGTGGGTCTGGAACAGGGTCCACTCAGCCTCACGAGGATAATTGAGGAGCTATTTCGAGGAAATAGTGGCTCCGGTGTAGAAAACCAAAATTAACAGCTGTGGGGATTTGTTATGCTGACCACATGACACCCTCTATCAGCTAAAGTTGCAACTAACTTCGCTAACAAAGTGGTGGTTGCTTGATTGGTATAGTTCACTTGTGGAATAAAAGCACAGTTTGTTTGATGTCTTGTAAAGCAGCTGTCTGAATGATCAAGGAGCTGGATGAATAGCAGACCGAAGGTTTAAACTGAACTGAACTGAACTGACCCGGTGTTTCATCAGTTATATCAGCAGAAGTAGTTAAGAACATATTTTCTTCTCTCCTTACCACTACAAAAGCTGAGAGTGATTTTGATGCATTATGACTGACAAAACTAGAATGTTTGTGATGGTACATGAAGCCAAATTCCTGTAGCTAAATGTCACTCAGATTTTCATCAGCTGTACCAAGAGGACATCACTGCACAAAGGTACATGTTTCTGCATTATCAATATTTTGCATGTCTCTCTGTCTCACCTTGCAGTGTTTTATGCTGGATAGTGCACTACAAAAACAAAACAAACTCCGTGGCCTTTAGTTTGCAAGCGAACTATGCTGACTGAGCAACTGCTGCTTGCTGGTGAAGTTAGTGCCAACTTTTGCGGATTTCCATGGCCGTTATTCTCAGTTTTGTAGACTGGAGCGGCTACTTTTCCATTCGAGTAGCTCCTCAATTATCCTCATGAGGCTGAGTGACCCCGTTCCAGACCCACTACTTCTCAGAAAATCTTGTAGCGCTGGGACTCGAACCTCAGACCTCCAGGTCTGTAGCCAGGAACTCTGACCACTAGACCACAGAGGTGGTCACTGGATAGTGAACCAGCATGCAAAAATGCACCTGATTGATAATATAAATTACTCAGAAGGCACATTACCTTCTTGCTCCTGACATGTGTTTCATGCCTGTGAGTTCACCTGTCATCTCAGTGACGTGTTTCGTGGCTTCAGTCAGTTCATCTCGCAGGTCTGACAACCTCTCACGTAGCATCATGTTCTGTTTCTCAACTGTCTACAAAGAATCACATCCTTGTGTTATTCTAAGAATTCTATCCAGACTACATGGCATGACACCCCAGAACATGATATTCTTCAGGGCCTAACAATATCCTTGCAAAATTACCAGCAGATTACCGTTATTCACTGTGTACTTATTAGCTTTACAAGTCCTCTGTTAAACCTTAAAAGCCCCGTCTTAGTCTCTCATGCTAAGAGATGACCACAGATGTAGGGTTTTTGGAAATAAAGTTCCGTCGAGAATATTTCGGCCTTAAGGCCCGTCCACATTAGTCATGCTTGTGCATCAGAAGCTTACTGCTGCCGGAAAATCAGGATCTGGAGCTGATGAAGTGGACGCCCAAACTGGTTTGCATTTCTTCACAACAGATATCAGCTCCAGATCCTGATTTTCTGGCAGCAGGGATAGCCATAACAAAAATATCAAGTACAGGATATCCATGAAGTTCTTATTTAATTAGTGAAATAATTTTTTTCTTTGGTGCTACAGCCCCAATTTGGGCCTTGGCCTACCTCCATGAAACTCTCCATTTCACTTTGGTTTACTACATCTTAGATATTTGGTAGGACTCCTTGGGCAGGTGATCAGCTTGTTGCAAGACCTCTACCTGTACACACTCAGACACGCGTACACAACACACACACACTCTCTCTAAACATCCATGTCCTGAGTGGGATTTGAACCCACAATCCCGGCTTCCGAGCAAGCAAAGACAGTGCATGCCTTAGACCACTCGGCTACTGTGACCAGCAGTGAAATAACAGTAACTCCTATTATTTACTGCAGGACACAAGTGACAGTGAATGTATAAGCACATATGGTAATAGTACCATTATGAATCCAAGGGTCATGTCAAAGACAAGTTTGCAAGGGAATGTCACAAGTCTGGGCATGCTGATAAATTAGTTCATGATATTCACAATAACAAAATAGGTAGGAATTTTACGAACACCTGTATTATATTTCATTTATAGTTGATTTAATAATGCTGTCACTAACTCAGACTACACACTGATATCCTCATTTAAGGGTTCTTTTTGGAGCATGTGATTTGAATACAGAACTGCGGTAAATCTTAAATAGAGGATATTTAAAACTGAGATTACTGATTTGGGATCACTGAAATTGAATGTTAAATGAGAGAGTCTTAAAGCAAGGAAAATGAAATGGGGTTCCACTGCAGACAGTGTTGAATGACTGAATGAGGGCAAATAATGAATTGCAAAGAATGTCGTTATGGCCTAATTTAAGGCATTGTCCAGGCATTTTTTTTTCCTTGGCACTACAGCCCCAGTGGGCCTAGCCTACCTCCATGAACTTCTCCGTTCACTTCGGTTTTTCTAGATCTTACACATTCGGTAGGACTCCTTGGGCGGGTGATCAGCTCGTTGCAAGGCCTCTACCTGTACACAAACACAGAAAAACGCACACACACAAACTAAACATCCATGCCCTGAGTGGGATTCGAACCCACGATCCCAATTTCCAAGCGAGCGAAGGCAGTACATGGCTTAGACCGCTCGGCTACCGTCACCAGCCATCCTGGCATTTGGCCAGCGGGAAAGCCACATCAACACCTCAATCAGGATAGCAGGTTTCCCAGTTGAGGTTCAAACTGAGCACCTGGTTATAAGCCTGAATGGTTACTGCTGTATCAATCTATTAACTTGCTCTGTGTGCCTAATGGAAAATAAAGCTACTGAGAACCATACACAATTGCTGTTACTCATGCTGGAAATCCTAACCGGTTAGTCTAGTTGAAAGAGTTTCCTTCTACTTCAACATCATTTAGAAGTTGTGAGATATGTCTGTTCTTCTGCCGGATGACGTTGGCCATTTCTTGCTGTTTCTTTGCGACAAATTCTGGTGACTGCTCGCTGTGTTGTGCTGTGATGTTCACTGCTTTCATTTTGCAATGCCACCAACTCTCTCTGCAGCTCTGGCTTTTCCGTTTCCAGTTGGGCCACTTGTCCGGCAATCTGCAGTGAGTTTCATCGTTCTTGTCATTTTCAACAAAAATGTAACTAAACGGCTACCTTGAAAATTACATAAGTAGAATGGGGCCAGATGACTAGTTTCATTACTGGCCAAACTACCTCATTGGTGTAAGGGAAGTAATGGTTAGGTTGGTATCTCTTAAGGTTGTATCACACTATAGCACTATAGGGATAGGGACGCTCACGCTCCGCACAAGCAACGGTTAAAATCCAAACAATGTAAATGTTATAGGATTGATCATACTGGGGTGCACGCCACGCTCACGCGCGCTCACAGTGAGCGCCGCAAACATCGCCGACAATATTTTGAGCGGTAGTTACCGTGTTTATACGCCCAGTGAAATTAGAAACAAACAAGAAGTCAGTGTTACTACGATACTTCATCCAAATCGTATCTCTGTATTTTAAGCATCTTTCGGTGTAGCCTAAAGAAGACCGTAGAATCTTAAGAAAGTGAGAGTGTACTGTGATATAATTTTTGTATTGTTTCTTGCAGTATAAATGGGAAGAAGAAAAACCAGTTTTGCACCAGGGTGCAGGTCTTCCAGTGACCACACTGGAATTAAATTCCTCTATTTTCCCAGGGATTCAGCACGGTATGAGCGAGATCTGAAATATTATTATAAAACGTACTGTAATATTTTGGCCAGTGTTATTAAAGGAGCTAAAAATCTTCATTATAATCAATTAATTTCTAATCCTAGCAACAAAATGAAAACCACTTGGACATTATAAAATCAGACACAGGTAGAAAAATTAATAATGCAAGTATAGAGTTTTTAAACATTGATGGGAAGTTAACTGATAATCATGATGTTATCACAGATTCTTTTAATAATTATTTTCGAACAATAGCTGGACATCATCAATACCAATAATGTTAATCGGCATTTTCTGTGATTTGAAGAAAACCTTTGACTGTGTCAATATCTGTCTGTCTAAAGCAGAATTTTATGGAATAGTTGGTAAGGCCAATGCATTGATAAAATCCTATGTGAAAGATAGGTACCTATTTTACTCACTGGAGGAATAATTCAACTCTAATATTAATGATCGATCTTGGTCTGTTATATGCTGGATGCCTAGTAGTATACTTTTGTTTCATTATTGTAGTCTTGTGTCATTAGTGTTCTGCATTCTTTCATATATATATTTGAAAACCGTGTTAATGATTTACTCACTGCAATTTGTCTTTGATAAGGTGTGTAATTATTATGGGTTAAACATAAATAATTTTTATTTATATCATTGATGGGATTTGTTCTGTTGTCTTTGACTATTACTATATCCACTGTTCTTCCAGTCATGTAAGGATTAATGGAAAGTAAATAAATGAATGAATGTCTGTTTTAGTAAATGATATAATGTAGCACCTACACCATGTTTGTAATGTTTACTGATGAATTATTTCAAGGTTTTGAAACAATATGTAATAATCTTAAAGGGCTATGGTATGGGTAGGAAGAGTTGGGTTGTCCTGTACTACTGATTCTGCTAGAATGCTGTACAATAATTTTCTGTGCAGCAAACATTTCTCTGAATGTGATTTCACTACAGCTGAAAGGATACACCTTAACAGAGTTGCAGTTCCATATGGCAGAGATTCTGCTGCACAGTCACTCCCACAACCTCCTGGTCCTTCATTACACACCCCTTCCTTTCATCCCTTGCCTTCAGATTTATCTCCTGTACGTGACCTTAATTTCCTACCGCCCACCAGAACCTACAGCAAGACACTGACTGGTGCCCTCTGCTGTAGCACCTGTTCCTATCCATGCAGACAGTCCTTCCACTTCCTTTCAGATGTCTGCAATCCATTCATCACCATCAGCAGGCAACACTTCTTCAGTGAAAGAAACCACCTATCTCTTAGGCTCTGAAAATATATATGCTTCTGATGGGGCACTCGAGGCATATTAGTTGTCAAAGTTCCTCCTCAAAGCCCAGAGCAAGGTGTTCTCTGCTGAAAGAACTAAATTTGGTTTCACTTTCTGAATTGACACTGATGAAAAGGAAATTATATGCACAAATTCAGAATAAGGAGAGTGCACTCTGCAAACTGAAAAAGAAATACAAAAGAAGTTCGAAAATCTCTGTGATGTGGACAGTGATGCACTCATGGAGAGACTTTCATCTTCTCTCAGTGTAGAGGCTGCCAGATTATTGGCAGCAATTATTAGGAACAGCAGGCAGAGACCTTAGGGAAGGTGGTGGGATTTCAAAGAGAAAGTGTTTGCTCTCTCTCTCCCCTCAAGCGTAGTCCCAAATCCTATATCCTTCTCCGCACACTCCCCCCCCCCATCCAGACCATCCTTGCAGTATGTCCTCAATACTTTCCATTTAGGACAGGCATCAATGCTCATGTGTTTCATGCACTTGAACAGTCTCTGCAGTAAATGTCTGGTAGAGTTCGATATTGTTGTCTCATGTTTGATGAAATGTCAATCAGAGAGAACTTGCATTTCAATCAGAAGTTTGACTGCATTGGGGGTTTTGAGGATTGTGGAAGTCAGGGCAGGACTTGCAGCATTGCAAATCATGCTCTGCTCTTCATGATCCATGACCTGCTGAGAAAGTGGAAGCAGCCAGTGGCTTACTACTTTACTCGTGGAAGCACAAAGGCAGAGATGATTGTGCAATACTTGAAGGAGGTTCTTGATGCCTGTCAGAATGCTGGCCTGAAGGTGGTTGCCACTGTGTGTGACATGGGTGCCAACAATGTCATGGCCTTGAACTGTTGGGTGCTTCCAGAAGGAAACCACTCTTCAGATTTCGCAATCAAGAAACTGCAACAGTGTATGATCCACCCCACCTTCTGAAGTGCACCCAGAATCTTTTCCTGAAACATGATGTGCAGTTGAAGTCTGAACATGTGGGCACCCAACTTTCTGTTATTGCTAAGTGGGACCACATACTGAAACTGTATGAAATCGACAAAACCAGACAGTTTCGCCTGTTGTATAGGGTGACACACACCCACCTGAACCCCACATCACAGAGCTCAATGAATGTGCGCTTGGCTGCACAGGTCATGAGCCATACTGCTGCAGCAAGCCTCAATGCTCTAGTGGCTACAGGTAAGCACTATATGTTTCTTTTATGAATGAAGTGACTAATAATGAGGACTAGTTTTCAAAGTTACTGCCTCAGAACCAAGTTGTAATCAAACAAACTTCATTATCATCTGACTTGAATTAACTTCTGAAACTGTATATAAATATACAAGTTATGTAGCATATGTCACAAATACTGTTTTTAGGATAATTAAAAAATATTTGAAAAGCAGACGACACTATCAGTCTGAATTAGTTGGCAAAGATTTTAATATGAGGAATCATGTAATGAAAAGTACAAGTTTTGTATAACATTAGTCCAATGTAAAGAAACTGTAATTCACCACGTAAGGTAGCACACTGACCTGTCCCCCCCCCCNCCCAATCAGGTGGGTGCAGCAGCGAGTACATGGCAACAGCTGTGTTTTTTGAGGAGGTTGACAACCTCTTTGATAGTTTCAATGGTGGAACAAGCGTTGGCCGAGGGAAAACACTGCGTTGCCCACTCAGTGTCAACAGTCCCCATATAGAGGTCTGGAAAAAGGCAAGTATGGGGAAAAAGAGTTGGATCTTCCTCAAGGATGGTAAACCCGCCTTTCTTCATCCTCCTCCTTCACAGAATGGGTGGCTGATTGACATCACTGCTGCCCAGCATGTGTGGAGGACACTGAAAAAAGAGGCGGGTTTTGAGTACCTTCACACCCAAAACCTGAATCAGGACCCCCTTGAGAACACATTTGGAGCTATTCGTTTGAATTGTGGTTCGAACAATAACCCAACTGTGGGACAGTTCGTAGATGCCCTGAAGACTAGAATCATCAGTGGCCTTGCATTTAGAGGACTGGTGGAAACTAATTGCGAGGATGATGGTGCTACTCTTCTGGATAATCTACAATCGCTTTTCAGGGCACCTGAAGCGGCATCACGAAATCCTTCCACAAGTCATGACAAGGAAACCCCTGCTGGTGTGCCTGAGAGTTTCCATGTTGCTCAGCAAGTACAGATGGACATGAGTCCTGCAGTACCTGCTGGTGACATGGAAGTGTTGTCAGTAGCTTCATTGCCAGACAGGTGCTTCGGGGTGTCAGCTGTGATGCATGCAAGACATGCCTGACATCTGAAGTGCTGCTATCAGCCAGTGTCTTCATATATTTCAAGGAGTGCAGTGATGCAGAACAGTCTCTCACCTATCCTTCTGAGAAGCTGGTGGAGACTGTTGGTACTGCTGTAATTCTGATGGAGTCTATGACAGAGGCTGCCCACTTGAATTCAGTGGAGCAGCATATCACAGCTGCCATCAGAGCACCGTTGACTTCAAGTGGATTAGGTGTTCTGGCTGTTCGCTTCACCACCAACGAATAGTAGGTAGTATTGTGAGATGTCTCACATGAATTTACATTCCTTGGTGGTGTAAGCAAAGAAACAGGTTGATGGCTGAAGCAGCCAGGCAGAGGGCGGCAGAGAGGAAAATGAAGGTACTGTTTCATCGGTAAGTCATTATGAAAGTAATGCTTCTTCATTTTTGCCTTGTAATGTCCTGCCCATACCAGCCCTGGAAACTGACAGAGAGTAGTTATGAAATTACTGGAAGAATGTGTGTGCCAACTAGTCACATGAGCATCTTTAAATGTTTCGTAAGTTGGAGAAAGTATCCCTGGTGACAAGCAGTCGCAGTGCAGCAACAGAAACTACTGTGTAGCGAATGATAACATCGTCATCCACAGTTCAATTACGCACAAGACACCTGCTTTGAACTTGAGCTACATCTTTTTCCTGATTTGCAAACACGTTGCAGTGAATGATAACATGGTCAACCACGGTTCGATTACATACATGAAACTTATTTTGACTCCTTGCCTCTGTGCAAACAAGTTTCCTTCGTCTCAGAATATTAGAACTTCACTGGGTCAGCGTTCATTCTGGCCTTTTATCTTCAAGAAATTATATTTCAATCGAGTGTATGGGAAATTGTTTTCTGACACACATGGGTCATCTTTATGTGTAGGTAAGAATGAGGCATTACTTCATAATCGACTTGCAAAGTTCAGGTTATCCACCTCAGTGTGAAACTCTGAGAAGCAGAATCAGTATCAGGATTGAATGTGGGTAGGACTATTTATGTACGTTCTTTACCTGTTTCATTAAATGTATCCAGTACTGAAGTGGAAAGGTTTATATATTTTCATTACTGACCTGGAATATGAATAGATACCAGATTGTCAGTATTCATTATATTTCTTTGTAAGACATATGTTACTTTTGCCATATAAGCCTTTCCATTACTGGACCGCTATATGAATGATACCAGATTTTCAGTATTCATTACATTTTTTGTAAGATTTGTTACTTTTGCCATATAAACCTTTCCATTACTGAACTGGAATATGAATGGGCAACAGATTGTCAATATTCATTACATTTATTTAAGATATGTTATTATTTCTGCCATATTATTCTGCCCAGTACTGAACTAGTGAAGATGAATATATCACATTTTCTTATATCTTTAAATGCAGTCTTAATCTTGTTGACAAGAGTGTATTTCACATTCCGGAATTCCATCATTTGAATGAAAATAATAATAAATGGGAACATGAGTATTGTTTCTTACAATATATGATTTATAATACTTAAATGTGACCGAAAATCTGTGTTCTGTATGGCTCTCAAGTGTACGGTAAGAAAAAATTATGAGGTTTAATATATGTATCTCTGATGGAAACAGAATTTTCTTTCAAGTTTCCCCACCTTCAGCTTTGTTAAATACAACTATTCCATGTTTGTCACAGTTCTCAATGTTCAGTGCCTTTGGTTAGAGAGGTGTTTCAGGTGAAAGAAAGGTTATGATTTTCCAGGCACTGGTGAGAAACTTTCTCCAGATAAATAATTTGTAACCTAATCTCTTGTACTCCAGAGCTGCAGAGGCTCTAATTCTGTTTTTTTTTTGGAGAAAAATGGGGGACCAAGTTTAATAGAAATTCACACAAATCCAACCCAAAGGATATGGGTGAAGTGATATCGAACTTCCTTATGGAGCTGAGCCCTTCTTGAGAACCTGTCAATTGTGCAGCCACTCAAGAATTTTCCAGCCTTTTGTAGAACCCGAAGGTTCATTACTGTGTTCACAATAGTCCTCCACTGGTCCCTATCCTGAGCCAGATCAGTCCAATCCATACCATACCATCCTATTTCACTAGGATACATTTTAATATTGTCCATCCACCTATGCCTTGGTCTTCCCAGTAGTCTCTTTCCTTATGACTTTCCCACCAATATATGCATTCCTCGCCTCCCCCATTCGTGCTACATGCCCTGCCAACCTCATCCTCCTGGACTAGTGATATTCTGTGTTCAATATCACTAGTCGAGGAGGATGAGGTTGGCAGGGCATGTAGCACGAATGGGGGAGGCGAGGAATGCATGTAGGATGTTCGTGGAAAGCCAGAAGGAAAGAGACTCTGCAGTACAAGAGATCTGGTTGTAAAAGAATTTACTGCTAGTAGCGAAAAAATCATTGGAAGGGGCAGGGGTAGGGCCACTCAAAATAGTTGGTAAAGTAGCATACCTTCTTACCGATTGTGCTGTCGGCCAAGGAGGGCATTTTAAATTTAGTTCCGGTATGATGGGTATAGATGGCAGCCTCATTGCACCGAGGTGTCATGGCGGCCATGTTGCCAACCAATAACATGAGAGTTCCACCCCCCCTTCGCGTGTAGTGTCGCACAGTTTTCGCAATGGTGAACCTCATCAGAGTTTTATCGCTGTAGGCGCTAGGCAAAGTTGGTCTGCTGCTTTTCGAGAACTTTATTTCATTTATTTATGATTCAAGCCAGTACATCGTTGAGTTCATAATCAACGACGTCCTGGCAGGTGGTGAGAAATTCGCTGTACTCACTAAAATCGTAGACGCTGCAACAGAGGAGGACTGCGAGTTCTTCTGTCCAGATGGCTGGTATTTTATTGATTTGTAGGATATGTAGAATAGCATTTTAGTTAGTTAGTTATTGGAGAGGGTGGGTTTCCCCATGCACTGAGACCTGTATTGGTCCATTGTGCTTCCCTCTATGATTTCTACCAGTCTCTATATCCTACCGGTACTGGTGCTTACCATCAGTCCCGCCCAGCCAGCGAGACCGGCTCTACTAGCTGAGAGGTATCTATAATGCTTCCCCCAACTACCAGAGGTATTAGAGACTGCTGTTGGGCGGCAAACGTCCGTTAATTTGGCTCAGTGACCTCCTTTGGAGATATGAGGTTCTTTTACGTGCCGTAAAGCCACGACATTGGGCCCACGGCTCAAAGTCCCTCCCGAAGGACTTGTTCCCAGAATTTTTTCGACGCTTAAAAATTCGAATTCGTGTATACACGTCATGGATACCACTTGGATCAGCTTGAATTGAAGTATGAAGAATGTGTAGGATGTTTATCAAATTGTTTCTTTTCAGGTGGTGATGCAATGAAGAAAGAAGGCCACATGCCCACTAGCAATGGCTGTGGCTCTTTGAGTTTCAGGTTAGACTTTTGTTAACAGACCAGTCTACTTTTATACTTTTTAAAAATTTACATGCAAAGCAGCACATCTTTATAATATGATGATTAGTTTTGTTATTTATGTTGCTGGGAGTTGTTTCTGTTATTCTGTAATAAAATTTGAAATTCAGAAGGTTGGTTAGGTTTCAGTAGTTTTATCGTAGTTGTGGTAACTACAAAGAAACTTAAAATTTAGTGATGTGTATGATTGCCATATTGTAAAAGTATTCAGAATAAAGTCAGAAGTATGCGACAGTAATATTACCTTACTTTTGTGACCGTGGCATCTTATGTTTCAAATATTTGCTGTGATGTTGCCCATTAAGTATTCACAACTGTGAAGAGGTGAAATAAGTTGCCAATATAGGATCTTATGTAATGAAGGGTTTTGAGTGCAATTTAAGGTTCTCACAGCAGTAGTTATGAAAAATTAAGTGTTTTGGTACTACGTGCCATCATATCCTAGAAGACAGAACTTTTCAAGAGTTTTATGATTTGTATAGCTCACATAATATTATTAGGATATTGAAATAAAAGAAATTGTGATTGGCAGGACATATAGTTTAGATGGAGAGACAAGAGATACATAACAAATTTTGTTAAGAGAGCTGAAGACTGAGAAGGACATGGCAGTATAATTTCAGAATTCATCTTGAGGAAAGGCTGTATATGAAATGGATTGAACTGACTTAGAATCCTTCATTTGACTGTTGAATACTGAGAGACCTCTATAAATCACATAGTTCCACACTTCTTCACTTGCTCATATTTCACAGGTCAAAATATTTTCCTGATTGGTTTTCTTTTTGAAAGACAAACTACATTTATTCTGTAAAATAAGAAGTGACGTCTAAAAATCATAGAAATAAGGTAAATTTATTGTGTGCTTATGTACGTACATACAAGTATACACCTTAATTTGAATTTCACATTAACGCAGTTTCATATGGACCTCAGTAATTGAGTGTTTTTAGGGACAGTTGAAGCGCAGTGAAATATTTGTCTAAAACTGAAAATAAATAGGATTTGTAAATAACTGATGTATCATAATGAGAGTAATATCTTGGATATGTAACAGTATGTAGTCTTAGGCCCCCCATACACACATAGTTTGGCCTTCCGATCGACCTTAACAGGCAAAACTTTCAGTTTATCCCCTCCCTTTCCTTCCCCATACACGTGCAGATAGACCAGCAGGCTTCATGCCACAATCACGGTCTTCCAGCCTATATTGCTGAGTCACACACGTCACTTGCTACGGTCCTGCAGGTAGAACTGACAGACTGATGGGTCTCCCACAGGCCAAGAGTCCAAACAATTGGCTGGCTGCACCACACGCATCAGTTTTGCCTTTCAGTCTTCAACTGTGCAGGCCGAACTGGATGAACAAGAGCTAGAAGAGGAAGGAACTCACATTCCACCAACAAATGGACCCTTGAAGAGAGGTGGGAAAAGAACTGGTCAACCCAGGAACATTTGCTTGCACCGGAAGAAATCTGAAAATTATAATGCAAATCTACAAGCTAATTGTCCAGGTATGAATGACACAGTAAAAACAACTACAGAGCAAAAAAATGAACCAGTACGCAAATCAAATAGACTCCAAAAACTACCAGGTATGAAAAATAAGAATTTTTTATGGTAAATAAAGGTGCTCCAAAAAGAAATATTTCCTTAAATGGAGTAACCAAAAAAGAAAACAATATCAAATTCTTAAATGTTTTCCATCAGAACATTAGAGTTTTAAGGGGGAAAGCAAATGAACTACTGAGTCATCTACACCCAGCCTCCCCACACACATTATGTTTTACAGAACATCACATGAATTTCTTGCAATTACAACAGTTAAACATAAATTCTTATAAACTAGGAGCAAACTATTGTAGAACCTTGTATGAAAGAGGAGGAGTATGCATCTATCTATGCACAGGCTTGAATTTTGTAAATATAGACCTAAAAAAATATTGTAAAGAAAAAGATTTTGAGGTATGTGCTGTTAAGTTAAACCTGAGCTCCAACAGACTGTATAATTACAATATATAGAGCTCCAACTGGAAACATTGATACATTCATAACAAAACTAGATACAGTACTTAGAAACCTATATACCTCAACACAAGAATATATTATTTGTGGGGATATTAATATAAATTACCTTCTTGATAGTGAAAAGAAAAACAAGTTAGATACCTTATTAGAAACTTATAATTTAACAAATACGATAAATTTTCCTGCCAGAGTTCAAGTAAATTCTGCTACAGCCATTGATAATATTTTCATCAATATTACTAGAAGGGAAAATTATTCTGTAAGGCCTATAATAAATGGACTGTCTGATCATGATGCACAGTCCATAACATTTAAAACAATAAACATGAGAACACATGCGAAACAATTTAAAATAATAAGGAAAATAAACAAACACACAATAAATGACTTTTTAATTAAACTAAGTTATGAAACATGGGACTCAACATTTTCTAGTGATAATGTTAATATAATTTATAACTCCTTTTCAGACACTTGCTTGAAAATTTACTATTCCAGTTAAAAAAAACAATTTCAAATGAAGTATGTGATTGGATTACTGTAGGAATAAAAACATCCTGTAAACGTAAAAGAGAACTCTATATGGCATGTAGAAACAGTAATAATTCAGAATTAAGTAACTATCATAAAAAAATACTGTAAAATTTTATCTAAGGTCATTAAGGAAGCTGAAAAACTGAAATATGATAACAAAATTCAAAATTCCAAAAATAAAAATAAAACCATATGGGATATAGTAAAATTAGAAACTAATAAGGGGCCAAACAATGAAATAATATGCACATTAAAGGTGGATGGAAAATGGGTTAGAGAAAAGAAAGAAATTGCAGAAACCTTTAACAATTACTTTTTATCTGTAGCTGAAAATAAAAATGCAAAAAATAAACAAAATGATACTAATATTAGTTACCTTCCAGACACTACTCCCATTCAGTATCTAATGAAGACTTTTATAAATCCCTTTCCGCATATTAAACTTAAATCTTTATCAACTAAGGAAGTTGAAAATATAATTAAATCTCTCAAAGCAAAAAACTCTTATGGATATGATGAAATATCCACTAAAGTATTAAAAATCAGTTCCCTTTTCATTAGCTCTCCTTTGACTCGCATATGTAACAATTCATTATCACAAGGAATTTTCCCAGATTGTTTAAAATACTCAGAAATAAGACCGCTGTTTAAAAAGGGTGAAAAAACAAATATTTCCAATTACAGGCCTATATCACTTTTAACTTCGTTCTCTAAGGTATTAGAAAAAGCTATGAGCATTCAATTGATTGAGCACTTAAACAACAATAACGTTTTAGTGGAAGAAATCTGTAAGACCTTAAACAGCACAAACTTAATAGGAGGCATATTTTGTGACCTAGAAAAGGCCTTCGATTGTGTTAATCATGAGATTCTGTTGTCGAAATTAGAGTTCTATTGGATAAAGGGTAAAGCTAAACTATGGCTTGAATCTTATTTCAGAAATAGATATCAGAGGGTTTTAATTACAAATACAAATCTTAATCTCAATGAATTTTCAACATGGGGCAAAATTAGACATGGTGTCCCGCAAGGTTCAATTCTGGGTCCATTGTTATTTCTCATTTATAGTGTAACATGTTGCGCAATGGAGGACTCCTACCTCCCCAGCGGCACGTGGCGGTAACGTAGCTCTCTCATAATAGGCGAGTCACCACCCCTCCACTCTGCCCGCGGCGACGTAATGTGCAACGCTACGTACCCGTAATCAACTTCCTACTGTGACGAGGCACGCAACAGGCACCACTGCGGCTATATAAGGGAACTGCACAGCAGCTACGAGTCAGTTGTACTGTGGCAGTCGCAGAGATCAGTAATAGTCGAGCGAGAGTGTGTTATCAGTCAGTGTGATATCAACCAGTTCTCAGTTTACAAGCTACGAGTTACAGACACGTGTGCGATAACTAAGAAGTCAGCGAGCAGAAGACTTATTGTGTGCTTTCGAGACTTAGTGAGTGCTGTAGTACAGTTATATCTGGAGTGTGTAATTCAGGGAGACTTGTATAGCTCCCGCATTATTAATACATGAAGACTCCTGAAGATAGTGTTAAGAGATTTTGTTGTAGGGTTTGTAAAGTGTGGAAACCCGTAACAGTGTTATCATTAATTGTAGCCGATACCTGTAGATTGTTAACAATCCGTACAGCGTCTTCAGTAACGCAACACGTTACATTGGTGTCAGAAGTGGGATTACGATCTTAAACACGCCACATACGAATTGTTGTGCATCGAATATTTTACTGCTACAAAATGGAGATGCAGCAGATGATGGAAATGCTGGCCAGAATGGACGCCAGCATGAAAACCCATCAAGAAGAGATGAGGGTAAACCAAGCAAAAGCAGATGCCGACCGAGTGCGAATGGAGACCAGTAGGAGGAAAGACAAAAAGGATTTCCTGGCGAAATTAGAATCCAATCAAGAAAAAGCAAATATCATGCTGGCAAAATTATACGGCGATAGGAAAACTGATAAAGACGATATGCTGCAAGAGTTGAGGGCCATGCAAGAAAGTAGGAAGGCAGACAAAGAAGATTTAATACCAAATTAGACGCCAATCAAGAAAAGGCGGTTGCAGACAAGGAAGAATTGAAGGCAGCAATGAAATCTATGCGAACAGAGTTGGATGACAAAATCCAACATAGAGTTGAAAACATTTTGGCGATCGTCGAACACGACAAATGAAATATCCAGGAAGAACTAACGAAAACCTGTGCAGCAATTGAAGAGACCAAACCCGAATTCCAGGCCCGGTTGGAAGTAGTACAGACGAGGACCGAGCGGGGAATCACGGTCAGCGCGAGCACAGCTCAGCCACCGACATTCAACGGGAATTCAATGTGGAGCGTGTTCCGGCGACAATTCGAGACCGTGGCAGAACACAACCAATGGTCGGACCGGGAAAAATCGACATACCTAATTACTGCCCTGAAGGGTCGGGCGGCGGAAATACTACCTAGCATTCCGACAAATACGACTTATGAGGAAACACTTCAGGCTCTAGAGGACCGTTTCGGGGACCAACACTTTGCAGCTGCTTACCACTGCCAATTACGAACGAGGACGCAGAGACCTGGAGAATCCCTGCAAGACTTTGCCACGGCCATTGAACTCCTTTCCCGTGGTGCCTACCCCAATCTACCTGCTGACCACATAGGAAGAGAAGCAGGAAAAGCCTTCATATACGGAATACGAGATGCCAATATAAAAATCCAGCTGCTGCTGGGAGGGGAGAAGATGGTAAACGAGGCCCTCCGACAAGCGCTAGAGATGCAGGCGGTACTGGTAGCAGCCAGGCCTCGCGGAGATAGTACCAAGTTCTGATCGCCCCACACCCAACAAGATGACAATAGACAGCACCAGGACCAAAAAGGACCTCCAGGAAATAAACGGGAATCGCTGGGGAAATCAGAATGGCGTCCCAGCAACAACAGGGAAACAAGCTGGAGAAAGGACCAACCATCGGGAAACGGGCGACGGCCGGCGGAGTGGGCGAACGCCGGCATATGCGTTAAGGTCCCCACACTACGCACTCACCGACATGACGGAGAAAGCCAACACCAGTCTGGTCACCCAGGGATGAGTCGGTGATAAGCCGTGCCAGGTGACAGTGGACACTGGAGCATACGTCACGGTAGTAAGACCGGATATCGCCGCCGGATGGCCTGAAAGACAGCCAAATCCAGATTTCACGCTGCAGACCGTGTCTGGAGGATCCCTGCCCATACTGAAAGAAGTTCTGTTGACCCTTATCCTAGGGCGTCAACCTATTATGATGTGGGTTTTTGTCGCAAATATCACAGATGAGCTCACCTGGGACTGGATATACTGCGCGCCTATGATGCTTCAGTGGATATAGGGCGTCAAACTCTGCGTATGGCAGAAGAAGAAGTATCGTTATGGAGTCCTGGGGCAGGACCCCGTCCTAACTTAGTAGTGGCAAAGGACCATGTGATACCCACATGGAGTGAGGGAATAAATAGTGATGGATAAAATGAAGAGTCATCTGGGAGTAGAGAATGATCTAGTAGAACCAAGCCCCCAGGCCCACCTGCCTGAAGGAATCTACGTAGCCAGGACCCTAGTTCAGGACTGTCAAGAAGTACCAGTGAGGGTCATGAATGTTACCCACAAGGACCAAAAGCTCAGGAGAGGATCTCCTCTGGCGCACTGTGAGCCAGTAACACTCGTAGCTTTGCCCGAGGTGGGGCAGACACCAGCACCAGGCCTAATACCGAAATTAGCGGACGTGACCACAGCGGCCAAGCCACACCTAAACACGTGGCGGTAACGTAGCTCTCTCGTAATAGGCGAGTCACCACCCCTCCACTCTCCCCGCGGTGACGTAACGCGCAACGCTACGTACCCGTAATCAACTTCATACTGTGACGTGGCACGCAACAGGCACCACTGCGGTTATATAAGGGAACTGCACAGCAGCTACGAGCAGGGGGTGGCAACTGGAATAGGGGAAAGGGAAACACGGTAACTATTGCCTCGGAGAGCGGCGGACGAAACTCACACTGGTCTCGACCAATCAGAGAGCCTAAACAAATCAACTTGAATACCCACAATTACGTGCGGTTATGGTGGTGCATTATATGCAAATTGGTAAGTATGAATTTTGATTTGATGTGGTTGCGAAACGAAAGTAGACATTTGCGAACGAAATTACAGCTCCATATTAAACATATTATTTGTGTATATGAATGTTATGCTTACTACCACAAATGGAATGAGAAACATATAGAATTCTTTCAAGCCTAAAATTTTTTAGGTTATCATGAACTATCATCTAAATGATATTTTTTATGATATGTTCTTCAATTTTCGGTTTATCCCAGAGATTGTCTGTTGATTGTGAAGGAGTTCTAAGAGTACCGTGATGGTGTTACAATTTTTGTATTGCTTTTTGCAGCATAAACATGAGAACAAAAACGTGTGTTGATGCTGGGTGCTTGTCATCCAGCAAGCAAGGCATAAGATTCTTCAGTTTTCCAAGGGATCCAGCACGGTATGTCTGTTTTACTTCATGGTGTAATTACTATGTGTTGCTTAATCCAATGAATAAATTAAGTTTAGTGTATGTCTGTGTTCAATTTAGTCAACATAACCCAAAATATTAGAATGTGTACCATGTTTGTAATGTTTACTGGAGAATTATTTCTACGTTTTGAGACTATTTGTTCTACTTTTACAGTGCTGCGGTATGGGCAGGAAAAATTGGAATATCCTTCACTGTTGATTCTGCTAAAATGCTGGACAATAATTATTTGTGCAGCAAACATTTCCTGGAAAGTGATTTCACTACAGCTGAAAGGGTAGTGGCATATCAATCATTGCAGCAAGTCACAACACTGTATTGGCTACAGGTAAGGACCACTGCACTCTATGCTATGAATTATATTCTGTTATGAGAGAAGTGGCTAGTGAGAATAATGAGAGCTAATTTTTGAAGTAATTGTCCCAAGAACCCAGTTGTGATCAAACATATGTCATTGTCATCATTCATTACATATGAAACTGTACATCAATATACAATTTTATTACAAATCTTATTATACTGTCTTATGTGCAACTTTTTAAGTTTTAAATTTTAAACTTAAAGTTAATAAATCATTTCACATAAGACTGTAAAATAAGATTTATAATAAAATTGAAGAGTGCAACAGGGTGCTACAATACAAACTTATCAATACACAAGTTATGTACTATATGTCAAATGTTTTTAGGGTAATTAAAAATGTTTGAAAAGCAGATCACACTATCATGGAATACATGTAGACAGTACACTGTCTTGGAAAATACATATAGAACAAACTATACCTAAATTAAGTGTAGCTTGCTATGCAATGAGATCGATTAAGCCCTTTATGCCACAGGAAACACTGAAGGTGGTTCACCATGCCTACTTTCATTCTATTATGAACTATGGATTAATATTCTGGGGAAACTCTTCACATAGTGTAAAAAGTTTTAAGATACAAAAGAATATAATTAGCATCATTACAGGACATGGAAGTAGAGATTCACATAGAGATTTATTTAAGAAATTAAAAATTCTACCTCTTCAATCACAATATATACTATCGCTTCTCTTATTTGTTGTGTACAAAAAAAAAAAAAATTTGAATTAAATTCCAATATCCATAACATGAATACTAGACAAAAATATAACTTCCATCTACCTTCATCAAACTTATCACTATATCAAAAAGGAGTCTACTTTTCTGGCATAAAAGTGTACAATAGTCTCCCACAAAGTATCAAAAACTTGAGTAATGATACTAAACATTTTAAATCAGAGCTAAAGAAATATCTGCATGCTCATTCCTTCTACTCTGTAGATGAATACCTCAATGTAAATAGAGAATAATGTAGAATTAAGCTATATTAGTTTAAGATAAAATTACTTGTACCAGTAGGTATTATTTTGACTTGTTCCATATCCAGAGGTATTAACCTACTTAGGGTCTATGGAATGCAAATAAATTCAATTCAATTCAAGTAATATGATTTATAAGAGAATAAGGTGGTGAAGACTGCTATGAGGAATAATTTAATGAAATATACAAAATCTTTATAATGGCAGTCCCTTTCAAGTAAAGTGTGTTTTTTTCAAATCTGAAGAAGTCCATCATGTAAGGAAGCCCACTAATTTCCTTTTTAATCTTCTTTCAGTGGGGTGCTGTGGTGAATACCTGGCAACAGCTGTTTGGTGATCACCTTGTGAACACATTTGAAGCTATTCGTTTGTAGTCTGGTTTGAACAATAATCCAACTGTGGGACAGTTTGTAGATGCCCTGAAGACTAACATCATCAGTGCACTTGCTATCAGAGGTCTGTGTGGAACTAGTTGTGAGGATGATGGTGCTACTGTTGTGTGTAACCTATAGTCATTGTTCAGGGCACCTGATGCTTCTTCACCAAATCCGTCCACAAGTCGTGGCAAGGAAACCCCTGATGAATTTCCTGAGTTTCCATGTTACTCAACAAGTACAGAAGGACATGGTTGCTGCAGTACATGCTGGTGACATGGAAGTGTTCTCAGTAGCCTATGTCAGTGGTTCCATTGCCAGACAGGTGCTTCATGGTGTCAGCTGTGATGCACACAAGACATGCGTGACATCTGAAGTGCTGCTATCAGCCAATATCTTCATATATTTCTGAGACGTTGGTGTGGAGACTGTTGGTATGCTGTAACTCTAATATAATCTGTGATGGTAGGCAATTCAATTCATGTTGCAGCATATCACAGCTGCCATTAAGAGCACCATTGACTTGGAGTGGTTCAGGTGTACTGGTTGTTCACTTCACTACCAAGGAATAGTAGATGGTATTGTGAGATGTCTCACAAGAATTTACATTCCTTATTGGTGTAAGCGAACAAACAGGTTGATGACTGAATCAGCCAGGCAAAGGGCCACAAAGAGGAAGAATAAGATACTGACAAATCAGTAAGTCATTAGGAAAGTAATGCTTCTTCATCTTTGCCTTGTAATATCCTGCCCATACCAGCCCTGGAAATTGGCAGAGAGCAGTTGTTGAATTACTGGAATAATATATTCCAATTGCTCACAAGAGCATCTATAGATGTTTCATAAGTTGGAGAAAGTAACCCTGATGACAAGCAACTGCAACTGCAACTGCAACTGCCATGCCTTCACATGCTCTTGTCTCAAACCTCTGGTATTGAGTAATTTGTTGATAACATTATCACCTAGAGTCGGATTACGTACAAGAAACCTATTCTGATCTTGAGCTCCCTCTCCTTGCTTTGGAGACCTGTTTCCTTCTTCCCAGAGTATTAGAACATCATTGTCAGAAGATGATCAGAGTTCATTCTGCCCTATATCTGAAAATAATTATATTTCAGTCAAGAATTGTGTGGGAAATTCTTTTCTGACTCAAATGGTTCGTGTTTATATGTGGGTAAGAGTGAAGTGGCATTATTTTATAATTGACTTGCAATCTTCAGGTTGCCTGATTCAGCATGAAACACTGAGGAGCAGAATCAATGTCAGGATTCAGTGTATATTTTGTAACTAAATTTATTAACAACTTCCTAGGTAGGAAGTTTTACTTATTAGTGTCTACATATTTTATTCATCTAATTTGTTATTATGGGTATATCCCTTCAGTCATTGCATTATTTTTGCCATTTGATTGTGTTCAGCATTGAGCTTATGAACATTTACATATTTAAGATTTTCAAGGTTCATTATATTGCTTCAGATATTTTATTTTCAAGTTTCATTATATTCCTTCAGTAATTTCATTATGTTGGCCATATTATTGAACACAACATAATGAAATTACTGAAGCAATATAATGAGCCTTGAAAATCTTAAATATGTAATGTAGCACGAATGGGGGAGACGAGGAATGCATATAGGATATTGGTGGGAAAGCCAGAAGAAGAGAGACCACAGGGAAGACCAAGGCATAGGTGGGTGAACAATATTAGAATGGATCTTAGAGAGATAGGATAGGATTGTGTATATACTGTGTCTCTTGATGTGTCTTTCTTATGTGGCTGTGTGCGTTGTATTGCTGGACGTATGTGTGTGTAAAAGACGGTTAATATATACACATTATGGATACGAATCAGTGCAACAGGACACTAAAATACAACATTCATTATATTCGTTCAGTTAATTTATTATTTTGGAAACATGAGCATGTTTCAGATCATGAGGTTTGTAAGACAAAGACAAAATCAACTCCGTGCAGTGTGACTATTTAAGTTTTACCACTTGAAAACTCAGCACCCTTGCATGTTTTGATCCTTACGGATCGTCTTCAGAGGGAACATCAATACTTATTCGGAAACCACTATCACAGTAGGTGTTCTGAGTGCTAAATTACATACACACAGGGCTTGAGGTGGGGCGGGATGGTATCCTGCTTCTTTTCTAAATGGCTTAAAAGCATCCCGTTACTTCTTTGGCAGTAAATTCCTATGAATTAAAAGGGAAAAACCATCCCGGTTCTATTTTCATTCCACCTCAAGCACTGCATACACACCCACACACACACACACACACACACAATGCCTGGAATACACAATATACACAATATTCAACTTTTCACAATCGCAGCAGCCTTCCTGGTATTAAAACTTTGTTCTTTAAGTCAAAATTTTATAAACCATGCAGGTTCGTGTCACTTCTCCTATCGTCTTTCTTGGAGGGGGCTGAACTTGTGCCACCTGTCTATCTTGTGAAGGAGATTCTTAGTATCGTCCGTGTTTGTTCGTGGCTTGCTGGACGGAGTTATTTTTGTCTTTGTAATTGTTAGTGTGATGGACCAGAATGAAACAAATAAAAAAAAAAAAAGGTTTGTAAGAGTTCTGCAATTATTTTAATGCTTTTCGTATATTATTAAATGCAATCTTAATCTTGTTAACAAGAGAGTGTATCAGATTCTCGAGTTTCATTATACTACTGAAATTAATAACAAATGGAAACCTGAGTATTATTACTTCATGTACATGATACATAACACATTAATGTAACTGAAAAGCTATGTTCTGTGCAGCTTTCAGGTATAAGTTGTAAGCAAAGTTATGAAGTTGAATACAAATATCTCTGATGGAAACAGAATTTTCTTTCAAGTTTACCCACAGTCACCTTTCCTAAACACAAGTATTCTATATATGTTATAGTTCAAATATCCATTGCATTTCAGTAAGGGGGTGCTGAATTGATGTAAATGAAATGTTCTTATTTTACAGGCACTGGTGAGAAACTTTCTCCCGATAAATGTTGCAACCTGATATCTTGTCCTGCAGAGGTTGTTACTCTGTTGTGTGTTTTCTGTTTTCAAACCGAGTTTAATATCATTTAACTCATTCCCCTCCAGATGGTTTTGAGTGAAGTGATATTAAACTCGGTTTGAAAACAGAAAACACACAATGGAGTAAGAACCTCTGCAGTACAAGATATCAGGTTGCAACATTATTTGTCGGGAGAAAGTTTCTCACCAGTGCCTGTAAAATAAGAACATTTCATTTACATCTATTATTAATTCTAGCTATATGTGTGAACCAGCGATTTTTTGGGAGGGAGCAGTAAAAAAAATGCTGGTGGTATAATAGCATACTTTCTTACCGACAGGGCAGGTGGTATGATAGCATACCTTCTTACCGAACGAGTCCTCGGCACTGGCTGCAGCATTTTTTTATTAAGAGAATTGCAGCTGGCCGCCGCGGCAGCAGTGCTGCTTCATGACGTCACGCTGGCTGTGTTGCCCGCCAATAGCATTGAGTTGCCATCCCCTGGTCGCAGAGATCAGTAGTAGTCGAGCGAGTGTGTGTTATCAATGAGTTCTCAGTTCGCAAGCTACGAGTTACAGACGCGTGTGCGATAACTATGAAGTCAGCGAGCGGAATACTTATTGTGTGCTTTCGAGACTTAGTGAGTGCTGTAGTACAGTTATATCTGGAGTGTGTAATTCAGGGAGACTTGTATAGCTCCCGCGTTATTAATACGTGAAGACTCCTGAAGAGTGTTAAGAGATTTTGTTGTAGGGTTTGTAAAGTGTGGAAACCCGTAACAGTGTTATCATTAATTGTAGCCGATACCTGTAGATTGTTAAATAAACAAATTAACAATCCGTACGGCGTCTTCAGTAACGCAACAAGTTACAATATAAACGATTTACCCAAAACTATAAATGATAAAACTGTACCTATATTATTTGCAGATGACACTAGTTTGTTAGTTAAAAGTTCAAACTATGATGATCTCTGTGTAAATATAAATAATGCTTTTCATAGTATAAATGAATGGTTCAAAGTAAACAAACTTTCTATAAATTTTAACAAAACCCACTACATTCAATTTACAGCTAGAAATAAAAATTGTATATGACAAAAAACAAATTACGTCTATATCCAATATTAAATTTCTTGGAATTTTCATTGATGACACAGTGAGCTGGAAATACCACACTGAGTATATTAGTTCTAAACTAAGTTCAGTCTGCTACATAATAAGATCGCTTAAACCATACACATCCATAAACATCTTAAAAGTGGTTTATCACTCTTATTTTAATTCTATTATAAATTATGGTTTACCTTTTTGGGGTAACTCACCCCAATGTATAAAAATTTTTAGAATGCAAAAGAATATAATTAGAATTATGTTGGGACGCAGAAGGAGGGATTCGTGCAGGAACTTATTTAGAAAATTAGAAATCTTACCACAAGCATCTCAGTACATACTATCTCTTATGCTCTGTGATATAAAATAGAAACAAATTCATAGTAAATTCAGAGATTCATACGAGTAGAATATATACCAGACAGCAAAATAATCTACATCAGCCTCTTGTAAAATTGAGTAAATACCAAAAGGAAGTTTATTGTTTAGGAACAATTAAAACAATTTTTATATTTACATTCTTTTTATTCTTTACAGGAATATTTTGGTTATAAATCTTTTTAAGGTGCGAGTAGTTGTCTTGCTTTACAATTAAAAGAAGACAAAGTTGTCAGTCTGTGTTCTGGTTTTTAGATGCTTATTTCAAATATACACAAATTTTGTATTACTGTATACTAGTCTTTATTTCAGTTTATTATATAAAATGTAAGTTATACAAAACTCATTAATGACATTATGTTTTAACTACTGATTTTTTAATTAATAGACTTGCATAAAACTGTACAAATTGTATAAGGTTTGCCATTACTCTTACCACTAAAATTAACTTATTTATTATATTGTAAATGTTATCAGTATTTTATGCAAATGAGCATGCTATTGGATGACAACTGTAATTCTTGGTTGTGACTGTAACAAGGACGATCTCCACATCTGCGTGAGTGTGTGCTCTCGACAGGATTTGTGGAATGTGAATAAATGAATGAAAGATATACACAAAGTTTATTTTACTGTATACTAGTCTTTATTTCAATTTATTATACAAAATGTATGTTATACAAAACTCATTAATGACATTATGTTTTAACTATTAGACTTGCATAAAACCGTACAAATTGTATAAGGTTTGCCATTACTTTTACCACTAAAATTAACTTATTTATTATATTGTGTATGTTTATCAGTATTTTATACACGTCTGCATGCTATTGGATGACAACCGTAAACCTTAGTTGTGACTGTAACATGGACGATCTCCACATCCGCATGAGAATGTATTCTCGACAGGATTTATGGAAGGTGAATAAATAAATGTAAAATGTAAATGAGGCCAAACTGTGTGTGTAAGGGGGGTCCTTATAGGAGTCCACCTGAAGCTTCTCAGATTCTAAGATGTTGCATGAAATAGTCTCCACATAATTATCTGCAATTCAGCAGTGAATATGAATAGTACTGTCTTCTGGAATGTGATACCATGTAGTCTTGTACTCAGCATCACACCCAA